TATATTTTTCTTAATATTTTATCTAGCATTTTCAATGTCAAACCAGCCGAGATGAAGTTTGGCATAAAACAAAAATAATAATTTACAGAAAATGTGATTTTTAATCTAATGGATATGGAAATTCTGCAAATATTTTGCAAGTTTTAATTTATCTAACAGCAAACAATAAAGAACTTTAAAAATATATGTAATTCAAGCAGATGGTAAATTTTGGGTTTGATATGGAATTTTATAAGGCAGCCTCTTTTGCTAGTGATATTAATTCGAACTTTCTGGAATTCGGATTTCCAGAAACTTATCGATATGTAGATGCCGTATAATATAACATTCAGCTGTTAAGCAAGTTTTTGGAAATCAGAACTCCAGAAATTTCGAGCTCCGATTGAAACAGACAAGGCAATGGGTACAGTTGCATAGGCAGTAAGGGAGGAAAAATTAACATATTGCCCAATATTCTGGAACAATCTTGAGCCAAATGTGATCAAATAAGAACGCTTAAACAATAATTTGTAATATTTTATTTATTCATAAGTTTGCATATCTCTGTACGTTTACAAGCTAATATTTAAATATTTATGGACTGTCACTTGAAGAACTGCTGGTGTTCGTTCTTAAATTACGGTATATGTACGTATGTAAAGCTAAAATTTACAAGTTAAACTAACTAGGCATTTAGAAATCGCTAGAAGAATTTGCGTAAACACAAACATTTCGCACGCCCCAGGCGAGGCCAATTGGTTTCTTGGACTTTGTCAGTTTTCCGATTACATTATTCGGTCTTCAGTTTTCAGTTATTCTCTTCTATTTCTCTATATACACAAGTTACAATTGTTTAACAACGAAAAATGTTTTTAGTTCATTTAAAAGAGCTCTTAAACACTACATACAACATGGCGGCCATTTTAGTGTGTGGACATCCTTTAGATCCTGCGCCGGGGAATGGAAAATCATATTCATATCATCATAATCTTTTCTTTCATTTACTGACACTGAGTTTTGAGTTTTTTTGAAGTATTTACAAGAACATTGTTCTAAGCTAGTTTTGGGTGCGTTGAGTATATTACCTCTCTCATCTGAACGACCCGTTACAGATCTGCAAGTGGGTAAGAGTCAATTATATAGATATATGTATAAGATCATAGTCGAGACACCATTGACACTTACTCATTGTCTCCTGCTGTATCTCTACTTTGTACGAGGGATTATCGTAGGCAGCATCGCTCTTGCGTGGCGGTGTTATCGATGCCGTCTGATGCACTCGTCTCCTGGTTATGATCAGCAGCAGTGCGAGCGTCGACATTATCGCCAGGGCGGCAATAACGGAGACGACGACAAGTGGACCGTAATAGTCACCCACTGGTTGATCAGAGACGCCTGCAGTCAGCAATTTGCCTGCATGGGAGAGAAAGAGATAGACGTAGATAAATGATTAATGAGGGCCTCTTCATGTCCCTTTTGATTAACTAAATATAATCATGTTCTATAACAGATCAAAACAAAGTGAAGGTATACATATACATTTGCTTCTAATGACTCAAAGAAGTAATTCATGCATTACCAAGGTTCTTAAAACTCAAATAGATCCTTTCAAGAATACGCAAGACTTGAAATTGAAGAGACTCATCTTAGCTAAATTTACATTATATATAAACCACAATTCCTACCTGTTTTGCCTGGCGTTGCTGGACCACCCGGCTTGGTAATGAAGTTGACCACGTTGCTCTTCTTGGTGTTGCCATTGGTGAGGTACATCTCCAGCCAGAGGCGATATTTGGTGCCCGGCTTGAGGTCCATGATAAGAGTGCCTGTTGTGCTATCCCGCTTGGCTACCTTGAAGACGCTCGAATCCTCCTTGCCGGCATCGCTCTGATAGATGGCGCGATAGATGTGCACGAACTTGTCCTCCGGGTAGGGCACTCCATTCCAGGAGATTTCGACGCTCTGCGACTTCACCTTGGTGACATTGACCATCACGTCGAAGCCGTAGACATCTGTTTTGGGTGCTGTGCGCACCTTAATCATATGTCCGGCCAGTAGCTCAGCCCCGTGGCCGGCGAATGGAATGTAGTAGAGTCCGATTTCGTAGCCCGTATCCGGCTGCAGATTCTGTATGGTGTAGCTGGTGAGGGTGCGGTGTATCAAAGGCGAGGAGGAATAGATCATGCCCGTTAGCTCCTTGTAGCGCAGCTGGACTCCATCGACATACTCCATCTGGTCGTCGCCCAGTTTCTTCCAGGTGAGCTGCAGCCAGGTGGCGTTCGTTTCGCTCACATTCAGCTCGGGATCCTCCACGGTCTTGAATATGTCCTGGAAGTCTGGTCTGTAGTCAGAGATCTGTGGCGGCGGCGTTATCGTCCTCTCAGCTGGCATCTTAACCGTGAAGACTCTGCTCGTGGGCTGCGAGTTGAGATCGCGCAGAATCAGCGTAATCTTCACCTTGTACAACGAGTTGGGCTCCAGGCCAGGCAAATCGAACTCCATTTGTGAGGTGGCAATCAGATCTTCGGGCGGTGCAAATATCTGCTGCTCCCAGCTAGACGTATCGTTGCTCGGTCCATTGGTGTAGCGCAGCTCAACGCGTCCATGAAGATTCACATAGACCAGGGGCACCGTGAACACAATGCGAATGGTTCGTGGATCGATGGCCTCCAGAGTGTGCACTTCGATATCGGGCTGCAGGTTGTTGAAGCCTGGAAAAGGTAAACGAGCATTGAATATTTTGATTTAGGATCTTCATATTGAGTTTGAGCACTACTACACATTCCTAGCTCCAATTCCAAAAACATATTTCCAAAAATATTTGATTTTATTCATGTATAAATTTGAGTTCTAATTGGAATTGGTACTGAGAATAGCTTTCGATCGATTCTCGCTCATTTCTAGGCAGAAATTGTTATTAGTTTCGGTTAAAATCTAAGAAGCTCACAAATGATGTGGATGACTGGTGATGAGTATATATATATGTGTGTATGTGTGTGCATGTATGTGTGTGGTGGTTGAAGTAGTCTCAGTTAGTACAGTAGAACCCTGTCATTGTGTATATCAGTATAGCAGTGTCCATACGGCATGAAGAGAGACTAGAGTAAGCTAAGAAGGATGTGACTAGAATAGAGTAGAATCTCAACCTGCTTGTTGCGTGGGCAGCTTGTCCGGGCCCTGGCTCTGACTCTGGCTCTGACTTGGACTGTGATGCAGGCTGTGCTCGCTGGCCTGTGTGGACAGACCAGAGCTGGTGCTAGAGCTGGGCGCAATGCTAGGCAATTGCTGCAATGATTCGTGTTGTTGCTTTAGCTGCTTTTGTTGTTGATGTTGCTGTTGGGGATGTTGCTGCTGTGGATGTTGCAATGCTGGTGGCACGCCCAAGCCGGGTATCAAGGGATAGCTCTCATAGGCCACGGGCTGGCCATCGACTATAGCAATGCCATGGGGCGGCGGCGGGGGTGGCACTCCACTGTGCACTATGGGCACATAATGAGGAGGCAAAGGTCCTTGTTGTTGCTGCTGCTGCTGCTGTTGCTGCTGCTGAGGTGTGGATCCTGGTCCGCCAGGCACGCTTTGCTGCAAGTGCTGCAATATTTGCTCGATTCTCACATGTGAGGGCAGATTGTGGTTGTCCTTCTGGGGCAATGTCTGACCCGGATGTCCAGGCTGCTCAGCACCCAGAATATTGAACAGATCCGATTGACTAGTCGGCACCGGCGGCGGCTTGCCCTGTGGTATGCCGTTCGGATTAATGTCGTATGGCTCGTAGGGATTGTACGCATCATAGGCAGGCTTTGCCGGATTGTAGAAGCCATAGGGTCCCAGCTGTTGCTGATGCTGTTGCTGCTGTTGATAGTCGTTGTAGTGTCCGCCCAGCTGCAGTGGCACATAGCCGCCTCCTGGCGCCAATGGTGCTCCATTGTTTACAACGTCCTCCTGCGGATCCTCATGCACATCATACTTAATGTCATTTTGCTGTTGCTGTTGCTGCTGCTGCTGCTCGTGTTGCTGTTGCTGGGCCTTCTTGTGGTGTTTGTCATGTTTCTCAAAGACGCCAGCAGCTGTCTTTGGCGGCTTGCCGTCCAGTGTGGGATAGAAGGCGGCCAGTTGAGATTTCTTATCATGCTCAACATCCGTTGGCTTCTCAGGCAACACTTTGTAAGTTGTTGTTGCAGTCGTTGTCGTTGTTGTCGATGTTGATGTTGTTTCTGATATTGGTTGCATGTTGAATGGTATTTTAATTATTTACAAATGCATAGCGTTATTTTTGTTCAATATATTTTTTTTTTCATAAGCATTGAAAATAAATGTATATATTTATATATAGTAAAATAGCACGCCATACAAAATAAAAAAACATAAACAGCAGAAGAGAGAAAAGAGAAGGCAAGTTAAATAGCAAAAGCAGTAAAAATCATTATGGAATAGTAATGCTTGGAAATCGTGCGAGAAAGATGAGCGATATAAATGAATATGCTTTGAGAGATGTTTGATAACGAGCTCGGCAATTGTTCGCCAATTTAAATTTTCAATTGACGTGAATATTTAGTTTACACCACAGCATCAATTAAAACGTTAATACAGTTCATGATGTTGTGTAAACGTGGCTTAAGGCCCTTTGGCAAATTTCAATAGGACTTTTGCATGCAATAAACGAGATGAATTTGCTTCATGCATTCCCTAACCATATTTACCAGGTGTCATTGAGGGCTGGGTGGTCGGTTGCTTTTGCTGATCTTGCTGAGTCTCCTCCTCCTGCCCAGCGGCACCGAGCTTGGGTGCCAGCGGTGCGCAGGCCCAGTGCTTGCAGCACTCGTCGTCGGGTATGGGCAGCAGGCGCGCCTGAGCCGGATGGCAAGGCAGGTCAGCGGGCGGCAGGGCCAACACGGGCGGACATGCCGGACGGCACTCCACCTTGCCGTTCTCGCAGTAGCAGTGCTTCTCACAACCTTCGGGGTAGGCACGAATGTATGACTGATTGAATGAGCCTGTCTGTGCTGATTGCCACTTACCCGTCAGGTTGGCCGGAATGGGTGCCCAGTTCTCAAACTCCATGCCTTGGTAGGTGCAGGTGCCGTTGTCCACGCAGCGCATGCTCTCTGGACAGCAGTGGGGCGCCACGGGCTTAAAGTCCGCCGGCACCGGCTCCCAGCGTATGCACAGTGGATTGAGCACGTCCAGGCCGAAGGTGGAGGGGCACTCCACCTTGGCGCAGTGCACGCCCTGCTCATTGCAGATGCAGAGCTGCTCGCAGCCGTCGCGGAACTGCTGTCCCAGATCATACTGTACGCCCTTGAAGCTGCATTGGGGCGTGGCACCGCCAGCATCGCGTGCCTGCTCCTGCAAGCCAAAGCTGCGCTCCTGCTCGTGCTCATCTCCAATGCTGTTCAGACCGCCATGCAACGTGGGTGACAGTGGCGGCTGTTGCTCGTGATCGTCCAGGGTAACATCGCACAGCTCCAGCTGGCAGCAGACGTCCTTCGGATCCTTGACATAGACACACTTGTCGGCGCGCGTATGATTGCGCTCCGGGCAGCGTGGCCGACAGTTCATGATGCCTCCCTCATCGCAGTGGCAGATCTGTGCGCAGCCAATCTCCAGGCGCTCGCGGAACTTGTAGACGCCGCCCTCGTAGTGGCAGTCGCTGCGTGGCTTGGGCGTGCCTTCTAGTTATAAGTGTATGTGTATGGAGGAGGTTTATGTGTGTATGTGTGTGGGTGTGTGGGTGTGTGTTTATGGTGTTTATGGAAAGCATAAAAAACATGGCGTTAAAGCATGGACTGGCATAGGCTGTCAAGCAGGAAGTTCTAAGCCATAGCAAAAGCTTTCTCTGCATCTGCTGACTCCAATTGGAACTGGACTCACCTTCATTCTGCTCCGCAGCAACAACAACTGGCATGCCTGCCAGGTCGGCGGTGGCTACACTGGGCTCTAGCAGTGGCTCCACACACTCCATCGTCCGACAGCATTCGTCCTCCTCCACAATGCGCTCGTGACAGTGCGGATTCGCCATGGTGCGTTGGCTGCCGCGCGGATAGCTGGCGCCCTTGCAACGTGGCTCACAAATCCACTCGCCGCGGTTGCAGGTGCAGCGCTCATCGCAGTCTCTCTCCATGCTCTCGCCATGCTAAGGAAGTCAAAGAAATTACAAATTAAGCACTTGACTTGAGATCGATGAAGGAGGATGTATGGCTTATGTGTTGGGAAATGTTGTATAATTCATTTATTCGATTCGAATTTGTCTAAAATGAAGACTAACTAAAGAATTAAGCAAAGGCAAAAATATTAAGTGTTATAATCTAAAGTGAAAAGAGAATATGTCTTAGCTGAATATATAGGAGATATGGTGAACTATTTGAGTTGTTGTTTCAAGTAGGGTTTAACTATCTTTCTCTTCCTCTCTCTCTCTCTCTCTCTCTCTCTCTCTCTCTCTCTCTCTCTGCCTAATCAAACAATGTTTAAGCACTTAGAAGAAGCATGGCCGACTGATGTCTCCGGAATCCAACTTTGATAAAAAGAGTATTTTATATGTTTTCGAAATATGTAAGTATAGTATCTGCAGGAGGAGTTTATTTATAACTGAATTCATAGAATCAGCAATAATTAAATAAGATAACAAGTTCAGTAAGAGATTATCATAAGTATGATAAGTGAATAAAATTAAATTCCCGTTTCATATAATTCTCAAGTAAACAAACCCTAAATCGAGCATCTGCATCCCTCTATAATATGTACAAAAATTATTATTATTAAAGTATATTGCAAAGCGGGACAGACATTAAACAAACTGTAATACAAATTTGTGTTTTCAATCCAAATGATTAACCCCAATTTAATTTTGATGCGACTATCTGTTATTCTCGAAATGTTTTGTACAAATGATGCCGCCAAACGAGTTCCATTTGCTCAGTCGCATTCGAGTTATTCGAGTTTACTGCCGCAGCTTTCGCTGCTCAAAAAATCTCACCGGCAATAAGAAGCTAGTTATTTGTAGTGAGTGCCTTAGAACTGTGACCCAATTGACAGCTAATGACAATAGATTCAGTTGCTCCGCTTTGGCGAATTCGATCTTGAAAGGCGGCTGAAGCTATTTGCGCACAAATTGCGTCAATTCGCTTGGCGAATTGTGCGGGACGCTCATCAATCATTTGTTCATTTGCTCATTTGTTCAATTGTCGACGGCTCAACTCGTTGGGCCCTGAATGAAAATTGGTAAGCATTTCCTGCTTGACTTTGGGGTCTGAGTGCACCAATAAGCAGACATGTCAAAGCGCGGCTCAGACTAGTTTATGGCGCGACCCACACGCGCCAGCTAGACAAAGATTGAAATCGAGTTTGTTGCTTGAGTCTTTTGTATTTGCTGCGAGTGCTTTGCAGCCTTTTGTGTTCGCTTAATTAAAAAGTTACGTGGGCTCTTGATCTCTCAGAACTCTTTTTATGCCTCTGAAATGAATACGTTCCATTTTATATGTGGCTCTTATGTGTGATTTTTCGCCCCTTAACGCGTTTACGCTCCAAGAAAAAAGAACATTAGGTCTTCTCGGGAACTTTTTATCCCCAGAACCTAAAAAGCCCTAGCCATTATATGCAGGCCTGCTCATGTTGGCATACTAAACTATATACCCGACTAGCCCATAAAGTCGGTTCAATTTAAAAGCTATTTGGCTGCTCACTTTAAAAGGTATTTGGGGCATGCTGCTCGCACTCGCGTTGGCATGTTGCACGTTGCCGCCGGCGATCGATCGCAATTTATATATATATATTCATATACTTTGAGTTTGCGTTATATAAACAGCTTGCAAATTCATTAGCAGAGATTGCATTGAAGTAGAAGCTGAATGAAATTGATATCTCCATGGATAACTTGTTATATGACAGCAGATGTAAGCTGCAGTTGTTGTTGTTGTTGTTGCTGTTGTAATTGTTGCTGTTGATTACGATTATTGTTAAGTGCAGGTGGAAAACTGTCAGGCGCAACACTTGAATGCATTTTCATTACACCTCATTACATTTCACTTCATTGCAATTGTGCGTTGTTCTTGATGATTTTTCGTTATTTGTTTGTTGTTTGTTTCTGTTGTTGTTGTTGTTGCTGTTGTTGTTGCTGTTATTGTTGCTGTTTGTTTGTCAAGTCCTATGAATGGATCGAGGCACTCGTTTACATAGATGCGCATGTTTTTGCATGTAAAATGTTTTTAATTGAAAACAATAAAGTTTCTGGCTTTGGGTTGCTGCGCATTGCCAGCGGCATGGCGCCTCCATCTCCATCTTGCTGGCTGCCTATCCGTCTCCCGTCCCACTCTCATCTCTTCAGATATATATAATGCATAAAATATTCCATAGAATTATGAAATGGCCCAGCGAAATGAACAGCTTTTCCTAGTAGTAGAGCATGCCAGGCATAACGACTGCTGAATACACTTTCTTTTCAATCAGAGTGAAATTTTGTTTGCTCCAGAAATTATGCTATGGAATTGAGAATTCATATTATAATTATAATGAGTATTATTACACCTCTCCATATTATATTCTATATTCTATA